ACCCTCTTCTACCCATCTGGGTGGTGGTAGCAAAAATGCTGGCACTGTCAGAAGCAGGCCTGGGGGGCGCAGTCGGTTAAGCATCTGCCTCTGGCTCAGGTCATGATCCCAGAGTCCTGGGATCAAGTCCTAAGTGGGGCTCCCCACTCAGCAGGGAGTCTGCTTCTCCCTCTCCCTCTGCTCATGCTCTCTCTCTCTCTCAAAACATATAAGTAGAATCTTAAAAAGAAAAAAAAGAACAAGAAGAAGTAGTAGGCCTGGGCTGCTTCACTGGATGATGGGGCAGAAGCCATAGGGAAGCTGATGGAACAGTCAGAGGTGCCCAAAAAGAGAAGAGGCTGTACTCAGGAGATGTGAGTGAACTCACCATCCCTGGAGGTAATCAAGCAGAGGCTGAGAGATTCCAACCTCAGGTGGGTATCTGGGCTGCTTCACTGCTCCAACCATTTCCAATCTGAGATTACCAGAGTCTGTGGACCCCATGTGATGGCAAGGAGGGATTCAGCATGGCTTTTTCTAAGACGAGCAGCTCTGGTGCCCAGGTCAGTGCAGATGCTGAGGGAAGGGAGGAATGACGTGTGCAGGTGTTCATTCAGCCCAGCCCCAGAAGAAAAGAAGTGCTTGAGGGAGGAGACTTTGGGCAAAGCAGCACAGAGACAGCGGGGCCCTGAAGGGCGGGAGCAGCGGGAACAGGAGACCTGGGCACCCAGTTAGCCTCACGTCGAGGCGGGAGTGTGAACTGGGCCTCGCATGTCAGATCAAACAGGCCCAGGACGCAAGGGCCATCAGAGCCCTCAGGAGTGAGTTTCCCAACACCTTCCCACAGGAAGGACCCAGGCAGCTGCCGCCTGCCAGACAGCCAAGACCACTGAGTTGGCTCCTTTCAACTAACTCAGTCGACACTTTCTTCACAGTTCTCTCTTCAAAAAGGGTAAACTATGGACATTTGAGCAACTAAGTCCATGCTGTTTGGGGGACATGGGAAAACAAATGGAATAGAGAAAGCCACCGTGGCTGACAGAGCCGCCCGGCTGCGGGTCCGCTGAGCCCAGGCCGCGGGTAATTTAGGGACTGTCGTATCTCCTCAGAAAGCCACCGCCTGTGACTCCTGAAAAACCGTGGAAGGAAGATGAGAGACGTCTGCGTTCTGGCACAGGGCAAATGTTTTCAAAGGGAAAACAGAATGACACGGGAAGTCCGTCTAGTCAGCATCATGGCCGTCCCTGCAAAGGTGATCCGTCCGCCTGCAGGCGGTGGGGGGCGGCAGTGCTCCATGACGGGCGGCACGGTGGGGACACAGAAGCCAAAGGACAATTACCCCCTTCATGTCTTAGTGTGCAAACAGTTCATCCACAACACGGAGGAGGAAAGAATAATGAAATGGGAGAGGGATTCATACTACAAGCAACTTCTCAGGTTGGGGTCTACTTCGCAGAAGGTGGACAAAGGCTGAGATGGCGCATCAGAGGTGGGGGGCAGGCGGGGGCTGGGCGCAAGGATGCAGCCAGGACCTCAAGGCGGGTATTAGAGTCTACTTGACTCCTGGCCCAAATTAGCAGGTGCCAGACTTGATAAGCCAGGGAGCACTTTTTTCCTAAATAAATAGTTTACAGAAGCTCCCCACTGCAAGATAGAAGCAGCAGCCTCCCCTGGGTGAGGGGTGTGTGTGCGGAGGGGCGAGGGATGGAGTGGGGGCAGGAGGTAGGCACTCCCTTCCCCAGCCTCCCCTGCGGGAACCCTGGCCTCCTCAGAACCGTCAGAAAAAGCAGTGGGCTGGATAAAGGAATTGAGAATAAGTTTATTGAATGTGACACTGATTACAGAATAGATAGATCCAATGAAACACAAGGAGCCAGGAATGATTTTCATAAATAATCTTGAACAGTAGCAAAGAGAAGTCACTGGACCAAGGTATGGACTCAAAATGGCCAGTGTGGTAGTGGGATGAGCCTTTCTCCCTCTCCTCCTCCTCCCCTACCTACCCCCAGATATACATGCCAATCAGGGAACACAAACCAGGTGAAGTCAGGGTAGCTCAGGCCTACCAAAGCAGCTAACAGGAAAGAGAGAAATCTAGGTTCTAGTTTTAAAATTGTAGACCAGATATAGCTTTGATTCTGACTTGAATAAGCTAATTAAGTACCTCAAAGAGACAATGACTTTGCCTCAGTTTATAACTTAGAAAGAGAAAAGAGTCTTCTGGACGTTCAAAAAAGAATGCTTACAAGGCCCTTTTAACTACGGTGTACCATTTGTTGTTGTTTGTTTGGTTGTTGTGACTTCTTTTATGGTGGTAAAACCTATGTGCCATAAGGTTAGCATTTTAACCTTTTTTTTTTTTTAATTTTTTCTTCTAAATTTATTTATTTGCGAGAGAGAGAATGAGAGACAGAGAGCATGAGAGGGAGGAGGGTCAGAGGGAGAAGCAGGCTCCCTGCTGAGCAAGGAGCCCAATGCGGGGCTCGATCCCAGGACCCTGGAACCATGACCTGAGCTGAAGGCAGACGCTTAACCAACTGAGCCAGCCAGGCATCCCTTTTGTCACCCTTTAAAAAGACCTGCTCTTGACTTTAAAACCTCAGGCAGGAACCCAAGAATTGCGGTTTTGAAATTTCCAGAAGATTTGAGATCCTGCTCTAGTAACACTTTATAGAGTATCTCATCACCTGGAATCAAAAAGTTCATCTGTATGTTTGCCCTAAATCCCATCTTCACTAACCCCAGTGTGGATGGTGAAACTCTTCACCGGGGGCACATCTCTCACGGGGACGCACCACAGCTGCAGCGATCCTGGAGACCATTTTTTGCAACAGGATAATTGTGCCCGTGCAAACCAATTGTTCGATGCTGCTCACTCACAATTACAGCTCAGAAAAAGAATTGATTTTTTAAAAATTCCCAACCAGTACATTCCCAGTCTGATTAATTCAAATCAATTCAACATGAAAAACAGGAGTGGGGACATAATTAATAAATCATGACTGGGGTGAAGGACAGTTTTGATCCTGGCCTCTCTGAAAGCCTCCAGGCAAATCAATGACCAGCCTGGGGCTCTGGTTCCTTGTCTGTGATGTGGGGTCAGGGGATTGCACAGATGAAAAAAAAGTGATGAAATCTGATGGGAGGGAGAGGGCACCTGGGTGGCTCAGTGGGTTAAGCATCTGCCTTCGGCTCAGGTCATGATCTCAGGGTCCTGGGATTGAGCCCCACGTCAGGCTCCGCACTCAGCAGGGAGTCTGCTTCTCTCTCTCCCTCTGCCCCCCGACTTTTGCTCTCTAATAAATAAATAAAATCTTAAAAAAAGAAATCTGATGGGAAAAAATCTTAAAACTGTCTTTTTTTTTTTAAAGATTTTATTTATTTATTTGAGAGAGAGAGAGTGAGAGAGAGAAAGAGCACAAGAGGGGGAGCGGGAGAGGGAGAAGCAGACTCCCTGCTGAGCAGGGAGCCCGATGCGGGACTCGATCCCGGGACTCCAGGATCATGACCT